ATTTCATAATAATATATGTAAGTACCTCGGGAATACTCGGTTGAGCTGCACAATTGACACTAGCTATGTCACTAGTTTATTTAACACCTGAAGCTTCCCTTTCTGATTGGTACTGTCTTGCTTTTTCCTTCCTCAATTCAAGAACTTCAACTTCTAATGCATCCAACCTTTCCTGCAGTTCTTTATTGCTAGCAGATTTTGTCTTTGGGTTGTTCTTTTTCAAGGAGCTTGGAGTAACCCCATGTCCTTTACCCCTCACCCGACCAGAATACTCACGAACATCTAATGCTCGACTAAGTATGCTCCTGCAATCATCTGGTGGAGATGTAGACTGAGACAGACTCTCCTGAAATTCATATGAATATTGGAAAAACATGAATACTATATGTTAATAAAATTTTGATTTAATTAGAATTAATGTTATACTTACACATTTTTCAAAAATTTATTGTACATCTTCTTTAAGAACTCCATCCTTACCCACACGGGCAGCCTTCTACAAAACATGCTCCGGAAGAGATGTTTCAGAACTACTCTCCTCTTTTAACTACACATTAACACAAAAAACAAGCTCAGTTATAACTCTTGATGAACAAGTATATCATTGCAATTTGTAAATAATTGCTATTTTTTGTTCTAATCGTGCATATCCCAAACGCCCTTTTTTGTATGGATATGCGGGAGATGATGCTCTTTGACGATTTACGTCACTTACACTCTGAAATTTTGGGGTTTTCCGTTTTGCTTTAAAAACATCCCATTCTTTAACTGAAATCACATCTGCATATTCTACTGGACGCTCTGCATCAACAAATTTTTTTTCGGCATCTCTGAGATATTTTATGTTTAAATATGTTCTAAACCATCTTAGTATTTTGCCGGCCAATCCAAGACAATAATCTTTTCTTCTGTCATCAATGTTGAAAGACCTCTACAAAAAACATACACAAAGTGCATTAGTATAAGTAATTTAAAGACATAATTTAAAGTACATAATCCTAATTTAGAGACATAATTTAAAGTACCTGTATCTCACTCCAGATTTTGTTTTTAGCATCATCCAGCTTATCATCTCTCCACTCATCACAAGTTATTGGAATTTCTCTCCTTACAAGTGTACCAATGTAACTTGTCAATTTAGAACCGTTAGGCTCAATTAATTGGTCATTTGGACTCCAATGCATATCGTATTTTATACCTCTATCTCTATCACGAATGATATTCTTCATAATAATTTTTCTTCTTTTAATTTCTTTTTCCACTCCCTTACTGGATTTTCCTCCATCATTGTCTCCATCATTAATAGAATCATCATGTGGGTTCTCCTCGTTACTAGCCATCTAACCTGTAATAAAGAAAAACATTAGTATCTAATGACAAATATTTAATTCCAAATATATTATTCCAAATATCTATTCAGTATATAAAATGACAAATATCAATTGAGTATATAAAATGACAAATATATAATTTATTAGAAGTTTGCTAAGTGTTAACAGGTATGGAGGAATATATATTACCTCTTTCACTAACATCTCTTTCTTTTCTTGGTTGGATTCCGAATTACTTGTCTCTTAAGAACGCGGACGGAGGGATTGATCCAAATTCCCTCATCATGATCTTTTCTGATATATGATTCATCCGCTGTAGTATTTTCATCTCGATCGTTTCTAATATACGACTCATTTTAAACATCAACATCACCTTGATCCAAACTTTTATCCTCAATCACTTTGTTAGATAAAAGCACTATAGACCATTTCGTACTCTTCGGGTCTGTGACATAAAACACTTGTTTAGCTTGAGAGGCTAGAATAAAAGGCTCATCTTTGTACCCCACCCTACTAAGATCCACTTGCAAAAACCCTGACTTATCCATTCGTATGCCACTAGTATGTACCCACTTGCAACCAAAGATATGAATCTGAAACTTCTCGTAATCAAACACCCCTATGTGATTGATAACCCCAAAATATGACAAATTTTCATATTTGGGGTTTAAGTCCTTCATACTAGAAATGTCCATTGCTTCACATACCACCGTGACACCACTATTTTGCATAGTACTTTTCTCATCTTGTTCTTTGGTATAAAATGTGTATCCATTAATTCCGTATCCTCTATAAGAGAACACAATACAAATTGGACCATATGCCAAACATCTCAACCTGTCTGATATTGAAGCGGGATCTGAATGAAACTTTGAATATATATGATCCTTAAACCACTGTATAAAACTTTGATTGTGCTCTCGTACTATCCATTTTTCATTTCTACTTTGATTCTCACCTCGGAGTATAGCCTTGTGCATTTCAACAAATGGCTCAACCTCAGTGTCATTGTGCAGAACATACAAATGCACTTGATCCCGTTCATCCCTTGACACTGTCACAATTTCATTTCCAATTAATTTTATACCTTCTTTTTTTTCGAAAAAATGAGATTTGGGGAGTCCAATGGATTTCACATTGGACAAAAAATCAGTACAAAACTCAACCGCTTCTTCAACAACGTATCGCTCAACGATACAACCCTCTGGACGACTTTGGTTTTTCACGTACCCTTTTAATATTTTCATATAACGTTCAACAGGGTACATCCATCTCATATAAGCTGGTTCACACAATTGTGTCTCTTTCACAAGATGAACAACAAGATGTACCATAATGTCAAAAAATGATGGAGGAAAATACATTTCAAGGTCACACAGAGTAATAACGATTTATTTTTGTAATACTGGTAAGATCTCAGGATTGATCACCTTACTACAAATTGACCTGGAAAAAAAACACAATTTAGTTATGGTGCTTCTTACTTTTTCTGGCAAAATAGAACGTATACCTATTGGTAGAAAATGTTCCATTATGACATGGCAATAATGTGTCTTCAGACTCTTTAACTTGAGGTCTTTCATGGACACGAGTCTTCTAATGTCTGAGGAGTAACCTTCTGGAACTTTAACTTCACTCAGAAACTTACACAATATTTTCTTTTCCTTTCTAGATAGAGTATAAGCAGCAGGTGGTAGATATGTTCGTCTTCCTTTCTTCACGGGTCCTAATTCAGTTCTTATTCCCATTTCTACCATGTCCTCTCTTGCTTTAAGGCCATCCTTAGACTTTCCTTTTATATTGAGTAACGTACCAATAACACTTTCAAATACATTTTTTTCAATATGCATAACATCAAGAAAATGTCTTACGTACAAAGATTTCCAATATGGAAATTCAAAAAAAAAATATTGACCTCTTCTTCCACCCACCTGTGACAACTTTATGTGAAAAAGGCTTGCCAAACTGAATACTCACATCTTTCACCTTTTCATAAATTTGATCACCTGTCAATCCAGGTGGAGCTCTACGTTGTTCGGTATTTCCATTGAACACTTTTCTCCATCCACGATATTGATGTTTTGAATTTAAGAATCTATGATGACCAAGAAAGACATTCTTCTGACAAAGTTTCAATCGTGTCGTATTGGTTCCATCTTCACAGACAGGACACGCTTTTTCACCTTTAATGCTATACCCGGATAGATTTCCATATGCTGGAAAATCGTTAATTATGCCAAACAACATCGCCCTCAAATTGAAAATTTCTTTCCTATATCCATCATAAACCTCCACACCGTTCTCCCACAAAATCTTCAAATCTTCGATTAAAGGTTTCAAGTATACATCTATGTCATTCCCTAGTTGTTTAGGCCCAAAAATTAACATAGATAACATCATGTACTTGCGCTTCATACATAGCCATAGAGGTAGGTTATAAATCATAAGAATCACAGGCCATGTGGAATGTGAGATACTTTCAAGACCATGCGGGTTCATTCCATCCGTAGATAATGCCAAGCGAAGGTTTCTTGTTTCTCCTCCAAAATCAGGATAATCATTATCAATTTTCTTCCACTATGGTGCATCTGCCGGATGTCGAAACTTTCCATCGATAATTCTTTCATCTGCATGCCAAGTCAAGTGTCTAGTATCGGTTTCACTACAAAACATGCGTCTAAATCTTGGAATAATAGGAAAATACCATAAGACTTTTGCTGGAGATAATTTTTTCTTATATCGAGATAAACCGCACTTTGGGCACTCATTCAACGATGCATATTCGTTTCGAAACAAAATACAATCATTTAGACATGCATGTATCTTATCATAGCTCATGCCAATAGAGCACAACATTTTTTTGGTCTCGTAGGTTCGATTAGGAAGAACATTATCCTCAGGAAGCATATCTCTCAAAAGGGCTAATAACTGTGTGAAACTTTTATCCGACCATCCATTGCGCGCCTTTAAGTTGTACAATTTTAATACCGCAAACAATCTTATGAATTTGGGGCAATTTTTATACAATGGTTTCTCCGCATCGCTTACCAACCTATCAAATATTTTGGGACAATCTTGAAGATCTTCTTCAAGTGCTTCTGCAATCTCTTCGACTCGATCACAATCATATGTATCCGTGGCATTGTCGTAAAAAACATAGGTCACATTACTTTTCACCCCCGGTTCAACATTCTCGATGTTTTTCTCACCATGAAATATCCAACACGTATAACTTCGATCAATTCCGCGCATTAGTAAATGCGATTTCAATCCATCTGTGTCAACCCGACCCACATAACAACAACCCAAGCAAGGACATTTCATTCTATTCGGGTCTTCAGCGTGTTCAACAACAAACTTAACGAACTCTAATACCCCATTCTCGTACTCTTTTGACAATCGATCGGCACACATCCATTTTTTATCCATGGTTTTAACTATTATCTAAGTTAAACAAAAACACTAATTAGGGCACAAAACGGTATAATGCGTTTCTGTCAAAACACAAAGTATACACGGATTTAAAATAAATTTGAGTTCTAAAAATACGATTTAATTCACCGATTTAATATAAAAATAAAAATAAGTACTATATAAAGAACTTGAAAATTGTTATGCATATTCCCATAACAAAAGAAAATAGAGTTGTAAGAAAGTCTCGAAAGAAAAATGGCAAAGCTCATTTGCGAATCTCTTGTATTGGGGCTTTTTTCAATAGCGTTGGTCATGGCTTCAGGTAAGAAAATTAACAAAAGTTTTTTGTTTTTAAAGGAAAATATTTTATTTTTCATTTGTCAGGTACGTTAGTTTTTGTACATCATTGTTAACAAGAGTTTTTTACTTTGTGAATTTAACTATTGGAAGCGGGAGCAAGAGTGGATTTACAAGACAATTCAGTTTATAAATGCATTGCTGCATGCGATAGTAACTGTGTTCAAACGTGCAATGCTAGGGGATTTAGTAGTGGAGCTTGTTTCGCAATGTTTTGTTGTTGTTTCAACAATGAAAAGTAGAATTGTGCAGTCAATACCAACAGAGCATTCCATCAGTCTCAAATAAATTGAATATGTGGGAAGCTAGAAGAAATAAGCAATTATGCAATTTGAATATTATGTACTTGTAGTAGTAGTTAATTTAATTGCATCGCTTCTAAAAAGTGAAATATCAATAAAGTGTTCAAGAAATCAGAGTCATAAGAAGATTATCTACTATAAAGGATGAGTGACTTTTAGATTGAAAAATATGGATATTTGTAAACACTCTGACGTTTAAATATGTTACTATGAAGGATGAGTGACTTTTAGATTGAAAAAATATGGAAATTTTACCTTAGATGAAACCGATTTTGCGAAACTTCTTCTTTTAGGTAAAGGCTCACACTGTTTTTGAATCTGTTTCTCTATAACGAGACAACAAATTAGAAGCTTTCTGGCATGAACCACGGTTGGACGGTGAGGAGACGAGTTGGAGGAAAAACCACGGTTGGACGGTGAATGGGAGGAGACGAGTTGGAGAAGAAGATGAACATGAGCGTTTTCTGCAGGGTGTGGGGTTTCGTTTGTAAAATGTGGGATTTCTGGAAATCTGATAACCAATTTAGGGATTAAGACACTATTTAATTACCTTAGACAACGCTTTCAAGAAGCGCTGCTAAAGGTATTACCTTTAGCAACGCTTTTAGAGTAATGCCTTTAGCAGCGCTTCTGGAAAGCGCTGTCTAAGGTATACCCTTTAGCAGCGCTTCTGGAAAGCGTTGTCTAAGGTATACCCTTTAGCAACGCTTCCTCGAATAACACCTTTAGCACGCTTTTAGTAAGCGCTGTCTAAAGTATAACCTTTAGCAGCGCTTATTCTAATTTTTTTTTTACTGAAAACCTATAGCAGCGCTTAGGGAAAGAAAGTGTTGTTTATGGTAAGGCCTATAGCAGCGCTTATAATAAGCGATGTCTATAGTATACCTTTAGCAGCGCTTATTCTAATTTTTTAATTATTTTTTACTGAAAACCTATAGCAGTGCTTAGGGCATAAGCGTTGTCTATGTGGCGCTGTCTAAAGTCAATTTTGGCATAGTGTTTGTAAACTCCTTACCTGAGATGCTAATCTTTTAGAAAGCCAAGTTATTGAATATCACAACTCACAACTTTATCTCTGGCCTAATAACAAAAGAAAAACAAAATCGCGTTGAAGAACATTAGAACAGAATAAAATTCCTTTTATATATAACTTCAAAGTCATCTAATTTCTCTCATTAACAGTGTGGGACTAGAAAATTATACTATGAATTCCTCATTCATCATTCTGGTCCATAACAACTAAGACAAGCAAATATTAAACCACAAAGAATAAAGTTGAGAGAAAGAGATCTAACTTATTCAAAAACTAAGACAAGAAAATAACATTACAGTAGTAAAATAGCCTCTTATGCCTTATATATGAGCATTACAGTAGTAAAATAGCCTCTAGCATAATGCATTATATATGAGCATTTTCATAAAAACCTCTTATGCCATATTCTAGAATTCTATTCATTATCAATGCATTATATATGAGCAGCAACAACTAAAACTTTATTACCTCAAAATCTTAGTATCACATTCAACAACAACGAGCAACTTCCTGAAACATTCAGCACAATTTTTTGTCAACAACACAGTCCAAAAACATGCATGAGAAATAAAAATCACAGAGAAGAAAACAGAATGGCGTTGAAGAACTTACAGAATCGAGCAAAACAAAACAGAATCACGGAGAAAAGAAAATAGAATCGCGTTGAAAAAAAAAATAGAATTGCGTTGAAAACAAAATAGAATCACGGAGAATCGTTGTTGGATAATAGTTGGAGAATCGCGTTTAAAAAGCTATTCGAAATCACTTACAAAGCGTTGTTGGAGATTCGTCTTGTTATGAGAACAAAAATTGTGTTTTAGGGTTTTAGTTTTTTTTAATTTAGAAATAAGACATTAATAACCTTAGGAAGCTCTTTTTATAAAGCGCTTTCTGATGTATTACGTTTAGCAGCACTTTCTAAATAAAAGCGTTTTCTGATGTATGCCCTATAGCAGCGCTTATGGCCTTAAGCAGCGCTTCTTAAAAGCACTTTCTAAAGTAGGCCTTTTAGCAGCGCTTTTTCTCAAATTTCTTATTAGGCTATAGCAGCGCTTTCTAAAATAAGCCTTTAGCAGGACTTTGGGCCTATAACAACGCTTCCTACTATTGGGCTTATAGCAGCGCTTTGAGTTTAGGCAGCGCTTCAAGAATTTTTTATTTATTTCAATTTTAATTGACTTTGGGCAGCGCTTTTTATAAAGCGCTGACTAAAGTGAGGATTAGGCAGCACTTTTTCTTAACTTTAGGCAGCGCTTTATTTCAAAGCGATGTCTAATATTTATAATTTAAAATTTAAAATTTAATCCTGATATTTAGCAGCGCTTCCTAAAATGAGGCTTAGGCAACGCTTTTTCTTAACTTTAGGCAGCTATTTTTTTCAAAAGCGCTGTCTAATATATACAATTTAAAATTTAAAATTTTATCGTGACATATAGCAGCGCTTTAATTTACAAGCGATGTCTAAATTGCGCTGCCTAAGAGCTGTTTTGGCGTAGTGGCGTGTGAAAAGTGTTTGATTGCATGCATTTATGTCTTTGAGATTAGGGTTTTCTAATGGTTGATTTTATCTTGCCATACACACCATAATTACTAACAATTATATTAAAGCGATAAATTGCAGAAATTAAAATCCTACGCTATTACATCACTTGGAGGATGGGGGTACAATTTACAAATGGGGATGAAATACAAGCCTAATTAAATTATTACAACCATATTAAATAAATAAAAAATATATATAAAAAGGAAAAAAGTGTACAAAGAAAGCAAAACAAACTTTATGTATTGACACATATCTTCATGCATCGATAAATGCCATTGCTTGTTTCTTTTGTCTCTGTGTATTGTGCCTGGATTACAGTGTGCATCGATGTATAAGGCTTTGTGTCGACTGATGCCCTGTTCTGTAACTAATATGAGCCGACTCATGTGTATTTTGTGTCGACCCATAACCTGTTTTACACTAAAATGAGTCGACTCACGTGAGTATGCATCGACTCATGCTGCATTTTTTGCCTTTAACATTATTCTATTGTTTGTACTGGTCAGTTCTCAACATATGATCGACAAAAATGAAAAGCAAGCAAATGGTTAGTTTCAAGGGCAATGGTTACTACATTCTATCTTCATAAGTGAACCAATAATGATGCGTGTATGAAAAAAATTTGAAGTCAAGAAGACTTACCTTGAGACTGCAATTTGTATTTTGAATTTGGATATCTTTCAAGATGCTGTGATGATCAGAATGGCTTCAGTGAACCTCCAGGAAACTTCTCCAACCCTTACTTTGTATTGAAAGCTGTTGAATCAGTCAAGTTGTACAATACTGTTTTTTTTGTGTTTGGAAAGTGATGATAATGGCACTAAAGAAACTATTCTTGTGTTTGAAAAATCTCTATGTGATATGAAGTGTTTGGATAGTTAGTGTTGTACCCCAAAATTTGACCTCCCATATTTCTCAAAACATGGCAAGAAAGATCTCCAAGTTGCTCAAGGTGGCTCATGAGTTGGTCAGACAATATATCTCCTAAGGTAGTCTACCCCAAATTAGGGTTTTGTGTTGCATCAAGATCCTTGAGTCCAAGTGACCCCAAGTGCTCACCAATGTCCTAATATTCTCTCAAGATCATCCATGTCAAATTTCAAGCCTTGTAGAGGAAGTTTGCTCAGTCAATTGCTCAAAGGTCCAAAAATCGATTGTGCTAGGGCAAAAGTCAACTGTGACCTACAAACAGTCAAACTTCAAGATTTTTTGTCAACATTCTCATTTTGAAGGATATTTCATCATTTTATCAAGGGTTTATCATTATTCATCAAGGATTTCTCAAATTTCATCAAGATTCAAAAGTTGCTAAATTAGGGTTTTGTAGGAAAAGTCAACTCAACTTTGACCAAGCATAACTTTCTCATACTTTATGATAAATGACCCATCAAAATCTCATTTTGAATAGGATACAATTACCTACAATCCATTTTCATTACCCAAGTTCAAAAAATGCACTCACAAGAAGTTATGAATTTGGACATTATAGGTCATTTTGAAAAGTCAACAAAAATACCTTTTTTGTCAAAGCTTCTAACTTGAGCATGGAGTATCAAAATGAGATGATAAAAAAATGGTTGATTAGAGGACATATCAATCTTTCTAAAAAGTCCAGGAACACCTCCAAAAGTTCATAATTGAAGAAGTTATGCATTATTGAAGTTGGACTTTTTTGCAAAATTGCCAAAAGTCAACTATCCCTAAAACTTCAAATTTTGCCAAATGGGCCCATTCTTTTTCACTTGATTTGAGTTTGCATTATTTCCCACGTGCTCTAGCCTTGGCCATGTGTCCATATCTCATTTTTATTATTTAATTTGATTTTTATTTGAATTAATTCATTTTAAATCAAATAAAATCACATAAAATCTAAGGCATTGATAACACATGATTTTTTTGGTTATTTCAGGCTCCAAATACAGCTATCATGGAAATTTAATTCGTATCAAGGTCTTTATGCACAAGAATATATGATTTGGATGAAATTTGGAAAGGTTTTAATGGAAGATCAAATCAAATATGCAATCATCAATATGGAGATATATGGACAAAGCTTGTTACCCTAATCAATGCACAATACATAAGCAAGCAAGAGGCACGAAAATAAGGGTTGGCAATCACTTGTAGAAGCAGAACAATACTTGAAAAAATCACAAAAAAGTGGGAGATCAAAATCAAGGTTAGAGACATATGCAGGGCTTGAGAGCTGTCCCAATCGATTGCTGGCCATCTCCAGAAGCTAAACCAATCACAACCAGGCGTTTTCAAGCTTCTATACGCATTGTAAGTCTCACGCAAGTTACCCCTGTTCTTGATTTCATATCTCAGAAATTAGACGTTGTTTTCATGAAATAACTGCATATT